ACAATGGTATTCATGCTGAAGTTTGTGGGCAGTTGCCTTGGCAATCGTTATGTTGTACTTATAAATCAATCCATACTTACTTGCGACATAAGTGTTCAAATATTCACTACAGTTAAAAGTATTAAATATGTGTATAAAGGCTACGACAGTGCATCTGTTGAATTAGGTTGAAGGAGAAATGAACAAGGTCAAAAAATACAAATTGATGAAGTTCAAAAATTTTTAATTGGGTGTTATGTTGAAACAATAGAAGCTGTGTGGCGGTGTATCTATGAATCACCAATGCAATTTAAGTCACATGTTATCATGAGACTTGAAATTTATTTACTACATAGGCAGAATGTTTACATTTAAGAAGGGCAAGAACATCAAGCAATTGAAAATGCAAGACAAACAAAATTATTAGCAATTTTTAATTGAATCAATCAGATTCATCTATACGTGATCATATATTGAAATTTCTTTGCATTATGTGTAGGAAGATTTCCGAAAAAAATGGAAGAGAAGACATGAAGGTGATAAAATCATTGAACACATGTATGCAGTATCACTAAAAAACATCAAACTTTTCCATTTACGACTGCTTTTATTACATGTCTGTGGCCCAAAATCATTTGAGGTTGTTTGAACATACAATGGAGTTATACACACTTTTTTTTAAGCATGTCATGCTTCAGTTGATAATTAATGGTGTGAATATTTAAATGAAGCAAAGGGACCACCAAAACAAATGCGAAATTTATTTGGTTACATTTGTGCATTAAATGTGGCAGTTAATGTATTGGTGTCATGGAATTAATTTAAAGTATATCTTTGTGAAGATTTTTTCAGAATTTACAACAAAGAAGCATCCTTTAATAGAGCTCTATTAGAAATTGAAGATATTTTGAATGTTAATAATTTGTCACATGAATAATTTGGTTTACCAGTTCTCACATATTTGCAGAAAATATAAGAAGCAAGTGCTATTGCTGCGATAGAACAAGAGTTCCTGTTTGTAAGCATTATGAAACTGCAAATATTGAACACTGTAATCTCACTGATTATGTGATTTGTGAAGTTTTGCATCATGATACTGGATCTAATGTTCTTTGTTTAACCACTCATGCACACTGTGACAAAACATTCACACAAACAGGAATCATTCACAAATTAAATTCGCTTAATCTTCGTTGTATTGCAGTAGCATTCAGTGGCATAGCTTTAACTCTATTACTTGGAGGTTGAACTTTACACAATGTATTTAAATTGCCTATACCCATTTTGGAAAATTCTGTAGTGAATATTACTGCAAACAGTAACTATAGATGTTACATAAATTCATAATCATTGATAATTACTGATGAAGTTTCTATGTTCTCAGTGCAAGTGTTGAAAATCATAGATTACTGTGGGATCTATGCAATGAAAATGATAAACCATTTAGAGAGAAAACTATACTTCTGCATGGAGAAAACTTTTGGCAAATCTTACCAGTTATCCACCGTGGATCACCCGCAACTTTAATTGAAAACCGTGTCATAAATTGGCATAAATTTGTTTATTTTCATAAAGTTACATTTACTCAAAAATAATAGCCTTACAAAGTGAAATACAATTTGTCAAATTCTTGAAAAAATTGGTAATGACAGAGCCTCACAATTCACTCACTTTGGTGAAAATATTATTGAAATACCTCAGCAATTAAGAGATGAAAATATTATTAGTAATGAAGTGTATGGAAATATTTCCGAAAACATACTCTCAGACAGCATATTGAAGTCAGTTATTTTAGCACCTAAAAATGATGATTGTACTCTAATTAATACTGATATACTTAATCAAATACCTTGTGAAAAGAGAACATTAGCATAGCTATGATAAAATAATTTGTGATGATGACCCAATGAAATCAATAACTATACCATAGTTTTTGAATTCTTTGACTATTAGTGGTTTGCCACAATATAAGTTAGGATTGCAAGGTAATTGTATCATTCTACTGATCATAAGGAAGTATTAATCAATGGAACAAGAATGCACTTTAAGTTTATAAGTTTTAACTGGAACCACACGCAATACGAGAATTCGATACCACGTATAAATTTAACATATTCTGATACTATTTTACCATTTAACTTTCAAAGAACTCAATTTCTAATTGCACCTGCAGCATTTGCAATGACAATAAATAAGTCTCAAGGACAAACACTTTTAAAAATTGGAATTTTATTGAGGCAGCCAGTGTTTACACATAGTCAATTATATGTTGCAGCAAGTAGAGTTTGATCATTCAATGGTTTGAGATTTTACATTTCTGAATATAACAGTCAAAGACATTTAGCAAATGATGAAAGCATTTTTACAAAAAATGTCATATACACAGAAGTTTTGAATTATTAAATTCATTTTCAAACTATTTTAACTTCAATGGATAACAATTATTTTTTAACCGAGCAGTTTTTTTTTTTAATAAAAAATATAAAGGACATAGTCTTTATTTTTCAATTTTTTTATTACTTTTTTGCTTACATTTTTTGAGGAAAATTAACTGCTTAGCTTTGATGAAACCTGGACAGTATAGCAATTTAAAAAAAATGAATCACTGGTTTTTAAATATGGCTTAACCAAGTTATACCTCATTTTTCCCACCCTCCATATTTTTCAAATAACTCGAAAATTAATGAATGATGATGTATTTGTACATATTCAAAGCTCATGTGATGGAACAAAAATTATATGCAATGATTATAGAGGTAGAATTATTGTTGAATTTCAACCACTGGGTGACCATAGTCTTAGAGTCCAAGAAATTAAAACTAAAGGGTTACTTTTTTAGAGACAGGTGTTGCATTTTTGTTATTCAGAGTCTCTGACACCAGAATAATGCATCTGGAATGCTTACATTTCAATACAACTTCTGGTCTACATAGAAGTAAACACTTAGTTTACACAGATATAAAAAAATAAAAATAAAAATTACAATTATATTACATTATATAAATCACACAAGAGTCACAATAATTCTACCACATAAAAGGTTATACATCATTCTTTGAGCACACAACATTAAATTAAACTTGTTAAACAGAAAGACAACACAAGTTTCCTTGTAAAATGTAATGATAGTTATGAGTTTTAACACAAAATTAAATTACATGTATACAGATCACATTAAATGCACAAGATTCACAATAATTTTTCAACCCAAGAGGCTGCTATACTTTACTCTATAACACTAGATGGAGAAAGTGAGTCATTTAAGACAAAAAGAAGTTTTTCTGTAAAAATAAAAAGTTACAAACTTTAGTTTTTTCTCTGGGTGTTGCAAGCAAAAGTTACTTTACTTTGGAATTAAAATTAATTCTATTTGTCATTTTAAAAGATCTTGTCATTAACTTATAAAAGTAAGTTACATATTAACCTTTTAGATGCAAGAAGCAACTTTCCGTTCCAAAATAAACCATTCATAACAAATTTTAAATGAAATTTTTTAAGGCATTTTTAATAAAAATAAGGAAACCAACATTACACTATAATCTGATTATGTAATATTGCTCAAAATAAACATTTTACAAAAAAATTATGGAAATGTACTTGCACAAATTTCTACCAAGCAGTAATCAAATGCATATTAAGTACAATACTATTTACTGCATACTTTTATGCAGTAGAAATTTTAAGAGGGCAATATTTTATGATTAAATATATGTACATACATATTATACAAATTTTTTATGATCAAGTGGGGTTATTATAATTCTTTTAACCTGCGGGGTCTATTTCACCCTCCATGCAATTGTTCCTCCATGTTAGTCCATTCTAACTCTTGCAAATTTAACCCTCCATGTTAGTCCACTCTAACTCTTGTAGAAAACAATTACCAAGAGTTAACTCATGATGAACTGCTAAAGATTCATAGATTAACTCTTTTTTTATTTATTCCAAATAAACTTACTATATGTTTTGCAGCTATGCCGGTGACCTTCACAATGTTTTCTTATGAGAATACACATTTTATGCCATGCTCTTTCGACTCAGCATCCTGGCACCTATCCATCTGTGCATGAGGCTATTATTACCTCTGTCAAGCATGTTAGGTTAGTAATTCAGACAGTTTTGCAATTTGGTGGGAAATATGTCAATTACAGCTTGTAAATTAATTCATAAACATGCTCTTTTTGCTCAGATTGTAACATACCTTTACACGTAATGCCATGTTTCAAGGTCTACCACACAGCTTCTAATTTGACTGTATTTTCACATTTTATTTCTTACATATAAATGATTATTAAAAGCAGAAATTATTTTTTATGTTCATTCTTAACAAAAACACACTAATGAATTAACTCAGGATAATTATTTACCATTTATTCTGCATAAAAATTACAAACATTTTAGAAAAATATTTGTAGAATCTTTTATACATCATCGAACTGATTAAAAGTTCACAGTAAAAAAAAAGGGGGGGTTGGATAATTTTTGCATGCAAATTTAAAAATAAAGGTTTAGTTAAGGGGTTCAACCATAATTCATTATCACTTCATTTCTTCGGTAGTTGTCCATGACCTTTTAGATCAGATTTCAAATTTCTAGTTTCTTTATTTGCTAAATAATTAGTTAAAATATTACTTCAGTGCCATATTTACCTATGCGCATCCTTGCATAAGTTCAAATTTCTTGAACTCGTCTGCTGAATTTTTCATTGGATTATATTTTCAACTTTTGCTTACCCCCCCCCCCCAAAAAAAAGAAGATGTGGTCATTTTTAAATACAAAATAAAACTTAAGCCTTTTCAATGAGTAAAAAAATGCTACAATTTATCAAAAAATAGCAATATTTGATCACATTTTTATTATAGAATTTTTATACTATATTGATTAAATTAGTTTCAATAATTCTTCTTAAATTTTACAGAGTTCTATATTAATTTGATGAAATATTATATGATAATTTTAGTAGATATACAAATAATAAATCATTTACATGTAGAAAAAATATCTAATCATAATTAATTTTAATGCAGAAAAATAATAAAATTATTCTTTAACTTTTTTGCATTTTAATATAATAATTTACATTTATTTTAGATTAAATATTGTAAATATAATTGTAGCAATTTCATATTTTTATCCATATTTGTTGATAATTATTTGAGAATATGAAATGAAAAAAATTATGTAGATTTATTCTACAAAACATATTCCAGGCAGTAATGATTTGAGAAGTAGTGTAATAACACTGGTGATGGGGGTCAAATATATTCCAAATGTGTCCTCCCAGAACAAGAATACAAACACTCCCGAGACAGTAAAATAGCCTATTCTTACCTATCAGTTATAAAAGCCATACATATTCATTTTAAAATAGCAAGAGAAATGTTACTGAATAAATGGGCAAATTATTTCTTTTTAATGTATCATGAAAATCTTATTTAACAACTATAATTTGTATCTAAAATTGCTAAAATATATTGACTTTTCATATGTTGACAATGTTTATCAACTTTATATAACAACTAATATCGCTAGCTTGGAAATCTTTTTTAAAATTGTTGAAATCACTAACATTTAACTTTTGATCAGTAAAAAATTGTCAAATCGTGCCAAGGTGGTTACATTAATATGTAACAGTTTTATACTGACAGTTTCACAAATCTCGTATAAATAAAATACAGTTTGCTAAAATATGAAGACAGGCATAATAATTATTCCACTGAAATTTTATCCTTGTATGTGCATTAATATCTTCCCATTAAAATTAATTATAAAATACTTTCCAATTATCACACTCCCACTGAAAAGATGCAGAAAGACAATCAATGAAGCAACACACCATGCTGCCAAAAAAGTATTTAGGTGACAACAAAGATGTGCAGATAGCCCATGTGTGTCTGAGTACATATGGATTTGCTCTTTTTGAATTCAATGGTCATTTTTCTGACTAGTATTATTTTTTGCATTGAGTACATTTGTTTTTGTCATGATGAGTAGTAATGGTACTGTGGAGTTTTCAGACTGATGATAAAGAAAGGCATCATACTTTCTCAAGAACAGTGTTTTTACGAAACAAACAAACAAACAACAACAACAAAAAAAAAAAAAAAAAAAAAAAAAAAAAAAAAAAAAGAGCAAAAATTCACATTTTACAAAGCTGTATTTCTTAAATAATGGAAATTTATGAAAACGCAATGTGAAAAGTTGCAAGTACTAGAATGTGGGGTGGAAACTGGTTTGCAGAAGACTTGTTTACAAGAGCTACTGTTGGACTAAGGAATACAAATCTATAAAGAAGTGGGATTATCCTTAAACACAAGTCTTGAATGGTACAATTACTTCAAGAAATGTGAATGTCATTTTCTATGGAAAAAGAAGAATGTAAAATAAATAAATAAAAATAACTAATAAAAAGCTGGCAATGATGCCTTGTTGAAATAAAAGGTTACCCAAATAAACATTTCTTTCCAAAGTCGGTAATGAGTTTGCAACTTTTCAGCAGGGTGCAAATAACCAGAGAGTACCAATTATTGATTATTTTATGCAATGTTTAAGCATCATTAAAAAATAAAACTTCTTAAAGAATGTAATTATACACTCTTTCCTAATAATCCATGGATGACAGAGTGTAACTATGCACTCTTTCCTAATAATCCATGGAAAATAACACTGATATCAAGTGAACATAAATTTTGAATAAGAAATTGTAAAAATCATGAATAAATGAATCAAGACAATTCAGTCAGGTCTTTGAGCTTTTTCTCAAGTGCAGCAGCAAAACACTGGCGGAACTGGCTGCTATATTTGTCTAACAAAGCATAAGGGGTCTCATAATATGTTTGATCATCAAAACCTTCAATAACTTTATCAAAATGAGTAGATACAACTTTGAATCCATAGCTGGATAACTCAACACATAGCTTCTGTCCTTCTTTAGTTTCTATGTTGAAATAAACTTCTGTTGGGGACTGAGGCAAAAGATGGGAAACAGCAATACTCTTCACAGCAAAACCCACATCATGAATTACAGCTTGAGCTTCTTCACTCCAATCAATCACTTGACCATCTACAGGCTCAGCCATACTTTAACTGTAACAGAAATTGTTTTAGAAAATTCAGCATGCCAAATTTAACAGCATGTTTATGCATTATAAACCTTAAAAAAATATACAAACACATTTTGATATGAAAAGCAAATTAATTTTATTACTCAAGACATTTAGCATTTTCTGCTCACTTTCTGCAAATTTTTCATTTTATATAAATCTATACATGTGAGTATATATTCTGCTGTCTTTTAAAAATAATTTTAATTATACGAGGTTAACATGTCTAAAAAAGTTAGTTGTTCATATTTCTTCAGACACTGGATTCCAACTCAAGTGCATTTTGAAGCAGGTATTGTTGGTATTCCATGTAACAAACCCACTTGTTTATACTAAAGATAAATATATCTTTTAAAGGAGGTGATAAAATGGCTAAAGAACAAAAACTTCAGTACAAATGTAGTATGCAATCTACAGTTTTTGTGATCACAGCCATCAAACTGATGGTACAAATACTCAAACAACTGAATCATGCTGTGCGATTTTGAAAAGATTTCTACACAATATGGGGAATACCACACACAAATGCTTCAGCATTTATTTCAGAAAAGCACACTGGAAATCCATTGATGAAAGTGATGATTATTTATTGGTCAGGCAGAGCACCTCATAAAAACGGTCTTGCTTTATAAAAATTGGACATAATTTAAATTCAGTAATTCAATAGGTTAAATTTAATTTTCATCGAAATATTCTTAACTATTTATATTCAAATTAAAATAGCATCTTAGTGATGCCATCTAAGAAATAACTAAAAGTTGTAAATTGCATACAACAATAATGAAACGTTTTTTCAATAAACCTAAAATTTCAATTTCAGCACTTTGTGTTTGCTGCTAAGCAGAATTGCTAATATAACTGTGTGCAGAATGTAATAAAAGAACTGGCATAGCAATTCAATTTAGGGGAAAAACATTACAGTCTTTTTGTCTCAAAATGGCATTTTGCATCATTTAACTTTCTGCATTGGTTCACTTTTCAAAATGTTGCCACTAAACATTATTGCCGTTTTAATATTTAAAGAAACTAAATAATGAAGAATCTGCATGAATTCATGAATGTTTCTGATAATGTGAAAAAAACAACGGTACCTAGAAACCAGCCAGTTTTGAATAATGCAGTCCTCCAATCAAACATGGGCACTTGGAAACCCGAATTTTGAATTTGTTTTAAATCTATTTCAAATTCAGCAAAACTTTTACGAATTTTTGAATAAATAACTGAACAATTTCAAAGCGAGCAATGGCAACACTGTACGGAATCTCCAGCACATGATATTAAGTACAGTCAAAAGTCGTTAATCCGGACACCTATAATCTGGAATGATCTATAATCCGGACCTCAAAGCTACAAACTTTCGGTGCATGCGTCAATGCATAATGTGTTCACGCACGTGCATAATACGTTTACATGTGCGCGTTTAATGCATAACGGACGGTATAAGCTAAGCTAAAATTATCTAATTATCTATTTCAGTTAATGTTGCAGATTGCGTTGTTCCTTAATCTTTGAACTGGATCCGACTTATTATTTTTTGCAGACTGTTAGAGCAATTTTATAAAAGTGAGCTTGAATTTTCGATTACGTCAAATAGAATTTCCTGATGCTGGGAGCTGCCAAAGGATATACAAAGCGAAAGTATGTTTCGATGTCCATCAAACAAAAAGTGGAATTGCTGCAAAAAATGGCTAAAGGCATATCCTTTGTTTCTCTAACTATTCCGAAATTTGTTTAGCAATTTCACGCTGCTCTGCGGGGGGGGGGGGGGGCAATGAATTGGAAGTTAATCTGTCAGCACTATCCTTATCTTCAGGGAAAATGTTTTTATTTTATTCGGCTTATAATTCCTTACTAAATGTAGTGTTTCATCTGAATGTTCTCTGATATGATTTAAATCAAATTCCTCATCATTATAATTCACTTCCGATAGTGAAGAAAGTGACACAGAGGTTATTGAAAACAAAAAAATTTCAATTGACAAATTAGTCAGTATTCTCGACACAGCAATTATAGGACTTGAACAGCAGAACTTTGTAACTGAACAAGAAATAATGTCTGTTTATAGAATTAAAGACTTAATAAAGTAAACAAATAAATATTAAGCTTTTTTTTTTTTTTTTTTGCAAATTTTAATACCCTTTAGATCATAATTATTCTTTATTTCATAAATTACGGTTTCACATTTTTAATTTTATAATTTCTGCATGCCATCTTACCATATTTAAACTGATGATCTATAATCTGGAAAAATCGATAATCCGGAATCGCTGAAGTCCCAACGAGTCCGGATTAAAAACTTTTGACTGTATTGGAAATTCTAAAAGATAAGCTCAATTTAAAATTATTTAGCGATATTGCTTTTGAACTGAATTTTATGGTTTAAGTGCAAAGAACGTGATATTTAATAAAGTTAACACACAAAATGTTACAAAAATGCCTCTTTGAACATAATTTAAAATCTGAAACCTTAGAGATTTTCTTTTCTTTTTAAATTTATATTTTTAGTTTTTGTCATTAAAAAGGGGTTTTTTCTGTGAATATAGCCAAACGTGTTATGATAAATTTAGATTTTGGCTATTTGTAATAGTAACCCTTTTGTATGGACCTGGGTTTGGTTTTCAGTTGCTGTATTTGCTTGGATGTGCTTGATATGGTCTTGGATTTTGAACTTCCTATTACTTTGCTGTTAGTACCACCATTTGAGTATGTCTGAGGTGGGGTAAGTGGATGAATGTTGATTAACAGCAGATAAGCCAAAGCAAAAATTTTAGTGAATTGCTTACGTGGAGAATGGAGGAGATGGTAGTTGGAGGCATGAACGTATGCACGTAAAAAAAAAAAAAAAAAAAAAAAAAAAAAAGCTGTGTTAAAAAATTGACATTTCATTTATTTATTCATCTCAGTTTGTTAATTTTCGTTAAAAGATTTGTTGTTTAATGTCTCTTTGTTATGAAATATGTATTTTTGGTTATTTGGTTTGGTCTGTTTGTGTATTTTGGGTTATTTGTTCATCTCTGTGTGTTAAGACAGTGGCAAATTTTTTCTGGTTAACATGATAGTTTTAACTTTGTTTTAGCTTCCTGATTTTATTTAAGTGAAAATAGGTTGATGTGTACATGGAAAAAGTTAAGGCAGTGTGCAATGCCTAATTTGTGCAATTCTCTGCTGCTTTTTTAAAGTTAAGATAGGTCGATGTGTACATGGACACCGAGTTTGTGTAAGTCTTTGACTTACACAAACTTTGTTTAGGTTTTGTGTAGGGGGGGATCGACACCATCTTAAAATTGGTGTCAATCCTTCCTGGCGTCAAAAAAAGAGATGATTTGTCAAGGGGTACCGTAGAGTAAATTTTAACCACGCTTTATTTTTATATTTAACTCTGTTTCTTGCATTCAATTTTTTTTTAACATTTACTGTATTATTTCGATAAATCTATGTTGCCACAAGCAAGATCTAAGAAAAGTAAAAAGCGATCTTTTTACAGTAATCGCTATACAGTTCGTGTGACATCTGCAAGCTCATCCAAATAAAGAACTTTTAAAGTTACAGATATTACGACTGCAAACAATGTTCAAGACCGAAATGGAAATATAATATTTGAAATTACAACATCAGCTTCTATCTTTTCGGTTCTCTGCTGTCCAGCATGTTTTGAAACTGGTTTGCAACCAGTAGAAGATTCAAAATTTGGGCTTTGCTTAAACCCTTAGCTTCAAATGCAAATGTGGATTTATAGATGCATTTTCTTCAACTTCCAAAAATGGAAATAGAAATATTTTAAATTATTCCTTGGTGCTTAGATTAAGACTTAATGGGAAATGTTACACATATGGTAAAAAGTTGTTTACTTTGAACTTGCCATTCATATCAAAAACAGCATTTAGGCAGCATGAAAGCAAGTTGTTAGAAGCTGTATAATATGTATCTGATCAGAGCATGAAAGAAGCTGCCAAAGAAATTAAAACTTTAAAGAAAATTGCAGCTCGTGGATGGTACCTGGCAGTGTCGAGGCTACACATCTTTGAATGGTTGTCAGTCTGTCATTTCTATTGACATGGGTAAAATGATGGGTGCATATGTAACAGTTTTAATTTTTAATTCAGGATATCTTGGATTACTTCCTGTGCTTGAAAACTTAGGTATGTCAATTGAACAAGAAATGATTAAAAATTACTTCATATAATTAAAATTACTTTGAATTAAAAATTACTTTGATAGCGAAAGAATAAAGAACTCAAAATGTCATTTGTCATTCGCTTTGAAAATAGCTGGAAAATTATTAAAAGCAAATAAAAAATCAAAATTACTTAAGCTTGAAGATAAGGAGAGTTATATGAATAAATATGGATCATTTTAAGCGTGTTAACACAACAGAACAGTTTTTTTGCTAATGTGAAATCTTTAAATGAGTTTTCTGGAAAACTGGTGTTTTAGTGTTTTTACATACAAGAAATGTAGCTACTCAAAATATATTAAATATATTTGTACGAAATTTCACTACTGTATTTTCTATTGCTTACTACATTTTAAGCTAAAAGCCTAAGTTCTATCTATTAATTTGGTTGCTTTATAAGCAATTCTATATAATATAATAAATAATATTTTATAAAAACTTTCATGCAGTTTCACATATTTTAGTAAATTTTAGAAATGTCATACATATTTGAGCTTATAACACAGATGAGTGTTGTAGCTATATACAGTATAAGTGAAACTAAAATATATACAATGGAGAAAAATATATGGTAAAAGTATAGTATAGGGCACCCCTTGGCGAAACTTGGAGATTTTTGGTGGTACATGGATAACAATTTTGTGCAATTCTTTGACTCGTTATTTTGGCTTGCGAAGCGGCGATTTTTGCGCCAAAAATTGCCGCTACACAAAGCCAAAATAACAAGACAAACAACTGCACAAACTCGGTATCCATGTACACATAAACTTATTTTCACTTTAAAAAAAATCCCCGAAGTGCACAAAAATGGCATTGTGCACTCATTTGACTTTATCCATGTACACGTCAACCTATTTTCACTTAAAAAAAAAAATCTCAGAATTGCCACAAACTTGCATTGCGCACTCCCTTTACTTTGTCCATGTACACATTGATATATTTTCACTTAAAAAGTCAAAGGAGCACCAAATTCTACAATATAGGCAAACAAAAGGAACTACTCCGATATGCGCCCTCAAGTCGCCAAATATTTTTGGCGAGAAACTTCACGCTGCCATATTACTATCTAAATTTTTTGTCTACATTTTGAACTTTTAGCCTAAAATGTCTCCAAAAACGCGGTTTTCGCACATGCAAAACTACGTTTTGAACCCACAATTTAGCTAAAAATCTGAAACAAAAACAAAAAATTTAGATAGCAAAAACGTAAAGTTTCTAACCAAAAATATTTGACAAGAATCCATGTACACAGCGACATGTTTTAACTTAAAAAAACATCTACGAATTGCACAATGTAGGCAACGAACGAATCTACAAACTACGCAGACCTCGCTTTAAAAAATTAACATAACAATAATAAATTTCAAAGAATACCATGTACACAGCATCCTGTTTAAACTTAAAAAAAATTCTACGAATTGCACAATTTAGGCGAGGAAGGAATTTACGATCTACGCACTCCTCGCTTTAATAAAATAACATAACAACAATAAATTTCAAATAATACCATGTACACAGCGTTCTGTTTCAACTTTAAAAAACATCTACGAATTGTACAGTCTAGACACTAAACAACAAAATAAACTAAAATAAATTTCAAACAATTTAAAAAAACAATAACGACAGAAATTCATACTAAAGAACCAATGAACATAACATTCTACAAAATAAGAACAAGGATAAAATAAAATGCACTTACCATGAATTAATGCGTTTTCGAATAGCAGAAATATAAATTTCATACCGCCTTTAACACGCCGCCACGTAATCACTATCGTATTTACACGACAGCCAGACACACTATCCAGAAAATTTATACTATGGTTCACAAATAAATAAAATCACAAATCCCTACGGTTGATCTTTACAATATGGTAACTGGTAGTTTGGCGACATTTTGGAGGCGATAAAGGTTACTACCTGGGACTTTGGTAATAATGTGAGCAGTACTCAGTTCCGATTACGCATTATTTTGTGTGAGGGAAATGAGAGATCATGGGATATGTCATGTGATATTAATGGACGAATTACGGTTCTTTAATCGGAAAAGGGGGGAAATCGGGAAAAAATCTGGAAGTTTTGTATTTGGCTTTATTCTGTGTATGTGTGAAACAGTGTTCGTGAATTTTTTGGATCCCATGACCGTAACTAAAGTGAATTCGAAATGGGTATTTATGTATGTATTAATTTAATGTATGTGCTCATTTATATTTTAAGTAGTGTTTTTGAATTTAATTATATTTTAATTAAATGATAGTTATTTTGTGAATTTTAGGTTTGTAGGAATTTGGTATACGTTTTAGTTGAAGTAAACGTGCATGGAAATAATTTAAATATCTGACACTAAGTATTTGTAATGGTTGCAATATGAATTCGTTGGTGATGTGTATAATGTAATAGATGATTTAGAGGTAAAAGTTTTTGGATATTTTATTTATTTTATATGTGGAAATGTTCATATTTGGAAAGGGTAAATAATTTTTCGCGATCAGGTAATTTCACATATGTTCTTTTTACCGGGTTTAAAGATGCAATGCCATTTTTATGCAATTCTGGGATTTTTTTTTAAGTAAAAATAAGTCGACGTGTACATGGTTTAGTGATATTTTAATTAAATGATAGTTATTTTGTGAATTTTATGTTTGTAGGAATTTGGTATACGTTTAAGTTGAAGTAAACGTGCATGGAAATAATTTAAATATTTGATATTAAGTATTTGTAATGCTTGCGGTATGAATTCGTTGGTGACGTGTATAATGTAATGGATGATTTAGAGGTAAAAGTTTTTGGATATTTTATTTATTTTATACGTGGAAATGTTCATATTGGAAAGGGTAAATACTTTTTCGCGATCAGGTAATTTCATATATGTTCTTTTTACCGGGTTTAAAGATTGAGAAAATTGTCATGTATTTTTGTGAAATTTTTCTAATTTATGAGAAAAAAGCAGTGTACATGGATATAGTGAAGAGTGTGCGCAATGCCATTTTTGTGCAATTCTGGGATGTTTTTTTAAGTAAAAATAAGTCGGCGTTGTACATGGTTTATGTGTATGTGTTATTTTGAAAAACGCGTAAGGAGTATGGTATTGTGCACTTTTTCCCAATTTTGCAGTGAATATTTGTCATGATTAAGTAGTTTTGTTAGATAAAATTTCTAGCATAAGTGTAATTCGGCTAGTAGATTGTTGGAAGAAGTGTTCAGTAGATAAAAAGAAAAGAAACATGTCTTTACTTCGTGAAGACAAAATGGCGGCGGGAAAAAAAAAATAGAGGGTTGCTGTAGGAGAGTTGGTCGCCAAATTTTCGCCAAAAAAACGCCAAGTTACCATAATGTAAAGATCAACCATCCCTACTTTTATCATGCACTACCATTAAAAATAATCTCCCAGACCCTCTTTCCACAGTTCCAAATACCCACTACCCCTCAACAGGATAGCCACAATCATATTTCCTTTTGCCGAACTTCAATTCAACAACTACCATTTTATCTTTCCCTCACATCTTCTCAGACACAGAGGCGAACCAACGAGCTCCAGCGAAAGATTTTTCAACGTCAACAGGGTTGCCATAGAACACGCAATCGCACCAAAAACCAGCGCAGAACGCATATCACCACATTTGGTGAAATTAGGACGTATATTAGAGTTGTACCAAACAAAAAATACATAATCTCAATAAAATACATTTTAAACCAAACAATAAAATATCATAAAAAGGAAAAAAAACATGTTATAACATTTAAGCACTACCAAAAGCAAATATTCACTTACCATGATTTTTGAATTCGCTTCGTACACCCAGAGCCACGTAAAAATCAAAATATCAATCATACTCAAATGACTTTTTTCAAACCAGGTACTCTTTCTGATCGAATGCTTTCACATACTGACCATCTGAACCTTTCTTCCTACAAACCCATTCAAAGCCATCTAAATGGTTTTTTACATTCGACTAGATGCATATCCTTCTTACATACAGGACACTTATAATGGCTACTAAGTAAACCTTCATTTACACACCAGTCAATTAAAGCTCTTTTCCCCTTTCGCTCCAAATCGTACAGAAACTTTAAATTAATCTTACTACATTCGGCCATTCTACCGTTTAAAGAATCAAACCACCAAACATCACAAAAACGTTTACAAAACATCCCATGATTCAAAATTTCCCAGAATCATGCATCCCGATTACGCCACAATAGGGTTTCCATAACATTCAACTACTCAGGCTACCATAAATGAAACAACAACTTGGCGATAAATCAAACAACAACTTTGCCATAATACAAGGGGTACATTAAAGTCTACTCTACCCAAATATACATCTAATGTAAGCATTAAATTTTCCTAAAATTTTGCATAAAATTGCATCTATTTAAAAAAAATTATGAAAACTTTCCTAAAAATTTACTTATTTTTATGATTTGATATCAAATTTTGACTAAATAAATATATATTTAATCAGTATTCTAAGTCTTTTTTAAAAGAATGCCCTGAACATAACATTCTAGTAAGCTGGCATCTATTGTCCACTGAAGCACATTTTCCTTCTAGCTCCAACTTCCGAAAAGATTCTTGCCAGAACCACCCATACAGAATGTGAAGTTTATCACCTCCCGAATTTCGCCAACTCTTCTGCATGTTGCATACTAGGATTAAATCAGTATAAGCTTCTTTTTATACATTTTTCAGTTCTACGTATTTAAACTGCTAACTGTGTAATAATTTTGAATTTATGAAAATAAGTTAAGACATTTCAGAGTCTTGCTGAGAGAATTATTCGGTTCAGTTAATATTAATTGGCACATTCCAATTTTTCATCTTCTATTAAGTGTTGAAAAAAATGCAGAAAATGAAGAAAATTGTTAATATACAAAAAATTTTACACGAATGCCTTTGTGTTCAAAATAAAATGATAAATGGCAATGATTTATATTTTAGTTTGAACTTGCTCTAGAAAGTGTACTTTTTAAAACGGACTCTGCTGATGAGCACATACATCCCAACTTCTAGACGACACAAAGCCCACCAAACCCAGGATCCATGAATAACACATTCACAATTTATCACAATTAATTAGAATTGGGTGCACCTTCGATTAGCAACAAATTTTTACATTTCGGCGATGAAACCTCATTTATGGTGACCATGATAGGTTTAACTTTCTTTTAGCTTCCTGAACTTTTTAAAATAAAATTATATTAATGTGTACAAGGACAAAGTTAAGGCACTGCACAATGCCCCGTTTGTGCATTCTCTAATGTTTTTTCAAGTGAAAATAAATTCATGTGTACATGGACACGGAGTTTGTGCAATTCTTTGACTTGTTATTTTGGTTTTGTGTAGCGGCCATCTTGAAATTGTGTCTTCTTGGCGCCAATAAAGAATTTCCCCAAAACAATAGGCATCCTTGTAAACTTTTACAATCTCACTTATAATTCTAAAGTTAAAATTTAAAATGCACTGTTTATGCACACATAATATTTGCCATACGTAAATAACGGCATTAAAGCCTTAGTTTTAAGGCTAACATAAAATCAGATCAAATCGAGAAATAAAACACACTCGGAGTATATGCCGTTCATGATGAATGTACTTTACAGATACAATGAAATATATTTGATAATATATTAAAAAAATATTACCAATGTCACAGCAACAAATTTTCAGCACATTTATAAAACTCTTTCAACGTTCAAAAGTCAATCATAATAGTGAACTGTCTCATTGTACGCATTATTAGAAGAAATATTACCGGCATACTCAAGATTCCATCGGCCTGTCAAACACAAGGTTCTTTAATATACTAAGGTTAGGCCAGGAACGGAAAAAGCGTGCCATTGGTTGCTGGTAGTGACGTCACCCGGGAGACAAGACGCATCGGCCGACGCGTCTGCTACATGATTTTGGTAATGGAAAAAATGTAAACTAAAGCAAAATGATCATTTTATATGTGGTAGATACACCGGAAATACCGGGTATATACTTTCCGATTAAGTATTTTGTTAAAGAAAATGTTTATTTTATGCACAGAATTCGTACGAATGCTGAAAATAATTGTAAACATTAAATTCTTTTCGTAAAGGAAAGCATTAGAAAATGAAAAACGTTATTTAAGTTAATTAAGGGAAATAAAATTGTAAAACAAGGTATTTTTCAATATTTTCGTAGTATTGTTTGCACTAAATAAATCTTGTTGAACAGAACGCATGATGGCATAACTGCTAAGACCATGGCAAAACATAATCAAAAAGTATTATTTCTATTTATTTTCATTGCTCATGCACTTTTTTTAATACAATGAACTTTGACATTCCATGAGAATATATGATCGTGATTTTCAGTTTAAATTACTAATCTCACAGCAAAAATATATATAAAGAGATTTGACTAAATTCATATTTAAATATACCATAAAATTCTACAAATGTCTTAATATCGTCATTATACTTTTAAATAGTATACTTATCACATTCTTTTTAAAGTGAAAATGCACTTCATATGATTCACTTCAGATTTTAGCAGAAGTGCGTATATTTTCAGTATAATCTAAAAGTACTCTTATAATCCCTTCACTCCCAAGATTTCTATATAACATTTATCCTGACGTGATTATTTGCTACAATAAATAATCTTCGATATTCGCATCCTGTTCTTCCTTCCATACATTAAAAATGGAACAATTAAAATACATTTTCTTACACATATACGCACAATAATAATAATAGTAAACTTGCCCTACATCTTAGTTTCGGCCCACCAGCGGTCAAGCGGTAAAGTCGCTGAACACTGGTAGTTCGGTTCGAATCCCGCGAACGGGCTGGCTGCATGGGTGTTTTCGTGGTTTTCCTCATGTGTAACGTGTATACGAGCCAGTTTCCCTGAGAAAGTCCTCCACGAAGGCATCACAACGCAGATAGCCCTAGTGTGCTTTGCCATAATTAAATACACCACCACATCTTAATTTCAATGCAGCCTGTACATAAATTAAATATTTTTTAAATTACTAATGTATTTTTATCAGGTTGTTTCTTAAAATACTTTTGTTATACTCGAAATATGCGTTCAATATTGAAGTATTTTTTCTTTCTCTTATAATTAAAAACAAATTATATGGAATCCAAATTAAAACATATGCAGCAGTTAAATAACACTGAAGACAGAATATCTTACTTAATCTTTCGCTATTTGTATTCCAGCACAATACACAGATTTGTTTTCCTTTCAGGGTCAAGCATGGATAAGTTCATTTAGTTATATCAATTAAATTACATCTCACATACCTGTATGCATCAGTTAAACATACACTGAAGGAAATATGTCACTCACTCATTTGATGTTTGCATCACAGTGTGGTCGAGAAATTGTTCTTTCCTCACGGTGAGGCATGTATCAGTTTACTTAGTTTGCAATGCTTAACCCAGATGCTGCTTCAATACATAGAATTAGGTTTGGGATGTAAAGAAAGTAGCCAAAACATGTGAATAAAGTTGGATAAGCGAATTTATCAACTAATTCATTCAGGTACTCAGTATTGGTAAACATGACACTGAGTTTAAATATCTCACTACGATGTAAGTCTCATACACAAAATGAAGATTATGATAAAAAATGATTTAAAAATGAGAAATTTTTCAATTTAAATGTAAAAAGCAGTAAAATGAAAAATAAATGTAAAATACATCACAGTTATGTATGAAAACTACATAACTTCATTAAAAAAAGTTATTTTATCTGGTTGTAAAGAGTTTTTCCGCTAAAAAAACGTATTAACGTGTTATAATTCTGAAACAACGCTATAGCACAAATTTGCCACTTCCGCCTAGGTATAATAGCAAATTAACAACACAAATCAAATCAAACTGTTAATGCAACGAAAGTAAACAAACGCCAAGAACTAACGCTGTCACCCACATGACGTCATGCGAATGTGGCTTAACTTTCTCCCTGCACTGCGCATCGCTCATTGCATCGCACTGCACTCGCTAAACACTATACAAATTCCTGGTGCCATTTCAGCTCTCCATGTTTCGTCTAAAAAAGAGGCGTACATATCATATTGCATTCAAAAGTTCGCAGCAATTAATAATGTTTTTTTAGGTTAAAATATTACGTCAAAAATGATTATTATAGAAGTCAAACAACTAAAGTTAGCGTTATATATGCAAATTTTTCAGGACTAGTTTCGATGGTTTAATTAGTGAACCATTTTCCTTGCACTATAGCACCCGAGGCGCGTATTTCCAAACCCTACCCCACTTTTCGAATTTTTGACG